AAATAAACTTTGTCATTAGTCTCAACAAATGATAAATATTTAATGTATATAAGACATGTTGTATGTTTCGTCCGATCAACAAGTGTCTTACATACGATTTATGTCTTACACTTCATCTAATAAGTCTTTCAAAGACATTTATGCAAACATTTAATAAAGATGCTTTTTTGTTAGTATCGAAACCCTAAATTTAGGAAATTATCTCTTGACTTAACAAGATTATCTAATGTGATTTTAATTTTAATTTTTATTTTTACTAATAAACTAAATGAACTGATCCAATCCAAAATGAATATGATTGGATTAGATTAGAGATTGAAAAACAAAAAAATTGAATCAATTAAAGTTGATTGGATCGAATCAAAATATGCTTCAAATCTAATATGATCCAATCTATGCCCATCCTACTTCCACACTCAGTGAGGTGTCCCCACGTTCAATGAAAACACGTTTTCTACACAAATCAGGGTTTTTCCAAAACCCCTTAAACACACTCGCTAAAGGTTTCTTTGGTTCGAAGGAGAGGGGGACAAGAGAAAGGTAAAGATGGGAGGAATTAGAAAATTTATTTGGTTGAGAGGAAATGAGGTAGCTCCTTTCTTGTTTAGTTCACAAAGGGAGAAAAAGGATGTTAAAAATTAATTTACTTTTATATCCTTGTAACTTAAAATTTAAAAACATAAATAAGGATATTTTAGATGTTGCACTAAAAATGTTTTAAAATATTTTTCCTCCCTTCTAAAGCCCCCATCCACCCAATAATGAAGGAGAGCTAAAAATAAGGAGGAGGAAATTTTTCTCCCCTCTATTCCCCTCCTCTCTAAAAAATTAAATCAAATAATTTTTTTTTTATAAAAAATCCTCTTCCCTTCTTTTCCTCTCCAACCAAACACTATGTAAAGGAGCATTTTGTGTAAGAAAAGCTTCTACTTTTCCAAAAATCTAAAGTTGGGAATGTTAGATGGTGTTTGGTAAAATAAACTTTTTTCATGTTTGAAAATCATGATTATTGGGAATCATAAATCCTATCAGTCATAATTTATGGAAATGATTAAATTCTATTTTTTTGGTCATAGATATTTATAGAAATATTTATAAATGTTATTAGGAAGTCAAATATTTTTACTACATTAAATAAATAAATTAAGGTAACATAATATTTTTTTTATCCCAATAAATCATTTCTTTTAATTCGGGGATGTTAGATTCCTACCTCCCCGTATGAACAATTTTGTGAAAACTTATGTAAAATCATTCTCGAGAAACCATATTTCATATGAATGTTATTTTTAAAATAACAAACCAAACATTAGGAACTAACATTCTTACTTCAAATTCTTGAAAAAGTAAATTTCTTTTATGTACCATACGCTTCCTTAGATTTCTATGTTTGGTTTCTTATTTAAAAAGATTACTAGTAAACATGGTTTCCCACAAATGTTTTCATTTTTTTATATAAGTTTCATACAAAAGTGTTCTCATGAGAGAAGTGACAATCTAACATTTTCAAGTTAAATTTTTTTTGTTGTAAAAATCAAAAATATTACAAAGATGATCGCAATGAAAATTGAACCTAAGACCTCATGGATTAAATTAAAGTTTTATTGTGGTAAAAAAATATTACATTACCTTATTTTGTTTAATCAATTTAGTAAAAATATTTGATTCATAAGTAACATGTATAAATATTTCTAAAAAACAATTATGACCAACTAAACATATTTTAATTATTCTTAAGATTCATAACTTTCAAGAATCATGATTTTCAAGTATGAAAATTCCCCTTTTACCAAACATTCCAGTGTCAAATGTATTATGGTTCATTACATTCTTAATACAATGTTTATATATATGCGCATGCCAAAATTCCAGTTGCGCATCACAATCCTCAAATTATATATGTTTTAATCATAAAACCTTAATTTCTCATAAATAATAAGGTTGTGTTTGGATGAGAAATTTTAAAAATTTAAATTTTTTAGAATTTGGATTACTTTAATTTCAATTTTCATCATTTTTAAAATATTTGTTTAGATAAGTTAATTCAAATTTATTAAAATTTAAATTTTTAGTTTGAATATGGTAATTTAATTTCTGTTGTGCCTAAAATTGCTTATATATATATATTCTATTGAGATTTTAAGATTAAATTTAATAATAAAAATTATTAGTCAATTTTTAAATATTTAATAATTTAAAATTTAATATTAGATAATATTTAATAATTAAAAAAATATTTTTGAATATTTAATAATGAAGAAAAGAAATTACAAGAGAGAGAAAAAAAGAAAAAGAAAACATAGAAGGAAAGAGTAAATAGGAGTATGAAAGATGGAAGAGAAAGACACAAGAAAACATAAAAGATATGAGAGAGGTAAAAAAAAAATAGATAAGTGAGATAAGAAAGAAAAAATGAAAAATTTCAAATTTTTACTATTTTATAAGAATTTGAAATTTTATTATTTTAAAATTTTTATAAATATTTAGATTTCAAATTCTTTGAAAATTATCTATTTAAACAAGATATTTCACTTCAAAATATTTAAAATTCTTAAAAAAAGAATTATTTTATTTAAATTTTCTATCCAAACATGCTCATGAATGAGATAATTTATTCTCTTACTTATTCTCTTACTTGAAAAAAAAATTTCACAATAACAAAGAATTATGATACGTACCAAACATCAAATATAACTAAAAATTATCTTTATCTTATATATTATATTCTCGAATCATATTATATTTTATTATGACCATAAAATGAACCCTTAATATTTATCTAAAATATTTGAGTTATATAAGAATTAAAGACACATGAAAAGAAGTTTTGCCTAACATTATTAGTAGTGGTATGTGACACTTAAAAGTAACAAGCTTCACTTACAAGTTACAAGTGACCAGGATTATAAATTGGTTAAATAAAAGTTTAGGTTACAAAAATATACAAAAATAGTATTGAATTTTTTTTAGAACTTTAATTAATTTGCTAATGAGAGAAATTTGTATAAAACTGTTATCGATACCAAGGTATATTGAAACTTGATTTTTTTTTAATTGTAATACACAGATTGAAAAATACAATTACATGATATTTTTTGAAATATGATAAAGCATGTGCCATTAAACTCTTACACATACTTCAACAAAAGTACCTGACAAGCAATTGCTCAATACTTTGGTTTGAAAATTGAATTTTGAAAAGTGAACTTTTTATTTATTTTAAGAGGATGCAAAGATTATAAAGGAGTTATTGTCCACGAAAATGACATGTATGTAAAATAGAGGTTCTAAATGTATTATTAACTATAATTTTTAAAAGATAAATTAATTTAAATAAATTATCAATAATCCTATTTAAATATCCCTATATAAATTAAAATAATTCTTTTAACGAGAGTGCATAGAATTTTTTTTAATGAAGACTTTTTAGTTTCTTTTTTAACAATAGTGTTATTAAGAATTTTTATAAATCTCTCATTTCTTTTAATTTATTAATTTCATTTTTATTTTTAAATTAAAATTTAATATTATTTCAAAAAATATCAATAGTTAAAAATAATTTTATATTATTATATATCTTGGTAGTCATGAAATGCAAATATAATTTATGTGTCAAAATATTTTATTATATATTTTAATTATGATATAATTTTATATGTAAACAAATTTATTTATTATAATATTTGTCACATGCTAAAATACTAATTACTAATACAAATATTAATAATAAATTATATATATAATTGTGATAATAAGAAAAAAATATCACAATTTTAAAAACATTTAATAAAATTTTATAAATTGATTACTATATTATATAAAATTAAAATTTATTTGAAATGGAATGATTTAATTGATTAATTTAATCAGAATATATAATTATTATAATCACATTTATTATTATAATATAATATAATTGTATATTTAATAAATTAAAAATAATAAAACCAATGAAATTGAAGATAAAAAATATGAATATGATTATGTTATATGACATTTATCTACATGACAATGTTTTTATATACTATAACAGATGATATATTAATTTAAATAGGACTAATTCAACGATAAATGAGATTTAAAACAAAATATTTGATATTAATTTTTATATTTTAAATAAGAAAGTTATAAATTGAATTTTTTATTAATATTAAGGATAAAGAAGTATTCCGTATCTCTAATTATTTTTAAAATTAAATTAACAAAAAATATAATAGAATAATTATTGATTATTTAGAAATGGTTAATGATAATTATTAAAATTATTTTATTTTCTTAATAATTAAAATATAATTGTCAACAAATTATAAAGATGAAAAATGATTAAAAAAATATTCCTTTAATATATTAATATATAGATAGATATATAATTTTTTTGCTTTTAAAAAATCTAATACCAATGATTTTTTTTAATTAATGAGTCTAAAACTTGAATTTAATAATCTTGACTTTCGTCTTCGTGTCCAATTTAAATTTAGAATTTTTTATTATATAAAAATTGCATTTTATATATTAAAAAAGGTAAACAATTAATCCAATCTAAACCATTTTTTAATTGAATTCATTAAGTTTAAATTTAAAATAAAATAACAAAACGAGAATATTAATGTAATTTGGTGATATATATATATATATATAT